CATCCGCATCCGCATCCGCATCCGCATCGACATCGACATCGACATCGACCTCGACATCGACATTAACATCAACATCAACAGCAGTATTCGGCATCATTATCATAGCAAGTAAGACGTAAGAGTAGCGATCACTGCCTTGGAGTGAAACAGACAAGATTGAATCGAGTCCACATGGCAAGTTGCCTGTTACTGTTTGGTATTTGAATGTCTACACACGTTTTCATATAAACTATTAATTATGTCTAACTATACTTACAGTACGCGAAGTGAGGTCAATGGACGCAAAAATGTAGGTTCAATGGTAGTGAGAAGGTTGCTGCTAAGATCTCTGCACGAAAATTCAAAACATGTAAGTAGAAATATTTTTAGCATAAAACTATCAATAGAACATCTATTTATTTCAAGGTCTTGAATGCAGGATGCTCGTAATTTCTTTTTGCAACACCCTTTTCTTTCTTTGAGAACCCTGGGTGGTGTGCAATGCTAATGCGCCACCCCACTCCCCTGCTTCTTCTCCAACTAAACCAGGCTCTGCTGTTCAATCCTTGCGGTTCAATCCCATATGAGATTGGACCCAATATCATATGTCAGTAGAGTTGCTTGTTTGTTAACTTCTCTGCTTCGAAGGTTTTTCTCAAGTTTTTCTTGTTACCACATTCCTCTTTTTCTTGTGAATAGTCTTTCACTACGCCATCTTGGTAGCTAGGCCTTCGCATCGACCGGTGAGCTTGCAATGATACAGACCCTTTTATAACACCTTGGACAATCATTAACATGTCTCTATCATTGCAAGCTCACCCTTTGGCTTTGATGCACAGGCACGGCTACCTTCCATAATGGCACAAAGGACTGTGAAAGGGCCTATTGGGTAATTGTAAAACCTTTCAGCGTTCTCTGTCAACCCTCAAAGTAGGGAATATATTAACTCTTCTGAATTTTTGATCAATGTTTTACAAATCTACAGCGCAACAGGCATCCAAATTAAGGATAACTTTCATCCAAAATGATCACAGTTACTCACAAAGTCGATAGTTGGTTGGTTGATGGAAAAGCCTCCGAAGGAAGAGATCTTAAGAAGTTCTTATTCATCCTCCTGTTAACAAAGTGAAAAGGTAAAATCCTTTAATATTTTTAGTTTTATTTAGTTATCCAAGTATAATTATTGTTTAACCTCATTTTGTACTTTTAGCAACAACAACTTCTTATTATAAAAATAACAACCAAAAATAAACAACAACAACATTAATTGTTAAAATGGCATCTCTTCATTAAAATAACAACTTTATTTCCATAATAAGCATCATAATATGATTACAAATATACAGCAAGCCAGTAATTTTTGGTATAGATTACTTTCAGTCTATTTATTTGAGTTTTAACGGTTGCATAGTTTCTCGTATTATTTAATGTTATTTCTTCATTACTTACACAACTTTTAGTGATTTCAATTGTTCCAGCGCACTTTCTTGCATATGCGTGATTATGTTATTCGACAAGTCGCTTAAGAAAAAAAACAACAATCATATAGACAATAGTATTTCCCAGGTGAGTGCGCGCGTTTCTACACAAACGGTCCCGCCAAAACCACAGGAGCTCCATGAGTGTAAATCACGAGGGGAAACATTTAGTTGCATGAAACAGTATTATAATTTCTCAAACATTGGTACACACCATACTAATGATATGTACGTAAATAGTTTTAAAAGAAATTAATACTTACATATACTCCAAATTACGAGCACTTGACGTGAAGTCGTTCATGATACGGTAGATCCTGTTATTTGCCAATAACCTGGGGAGTGGAAAATAACTCTTTAAAAAGTACGTAAGAAAAATGGCTTACATTTTGAATGCAGATTGAATGTTTGGCAATCAAAACAATCAAATAAAAAGAAAACTTGATTGGGAAATTCATATAAAACAGTGTCCCCGATTACTTAGTATGAAACGCAGCAACTCGTCTAACATTCAGCAACTGGTTTCTTATTTGCAGAACTCGTCTAACATTCAGCAACTTGTTTTTTTTTTATTTGAAGAAACTCGTCTAAGATGCAGCAACTTGTTTCTTATGTTTTAAATGGACTTACAGGAGCTTCGTTTCTTTGGGTATATCAGAAGGTATGGCTGATAAGATCGATGTGTCCTGGGACTTGATGACAAGCCATTTGTTGTTACTGGACATTAGACTGCAGTGGCACCCAACAGGACAACCTGTATACGAGAAATAAGAATGGGAGAAAAAAAGAAGAAAGTAAAAAAAAAAAAAAAAAAAAAAAAAAAAAAAAAAAAAAAAAAAAAAGGAAGAAAGTAAAAAAAGGAAAGGAATAATGAAATGGAAAAGAAAAAGAAAAGAAAAAGGGAAAAACATTTAATAACAAGTATTTCCAAACGTTCCTCGGTTGAATCGAACCTAAAGTAACTCTTAACATGCATGTATTTTTATAGTAACAATTCAGTCAAACAGCGACAGCCAAGAGGCTTATTCCATTCTCATCTCAGCTCGTACATACAACTCACCTTTATAGGATATACATGTTTCTTTTCTTCTTTTTCTTGCTGTAAAACGAACCAGAATGATTTATTATGATTTATGATATATGACTTGTTATAGCGCTCTATTAATTCGTTTGAGTGACCACAAAACGATGGCTTGAATTCGAGGTTAGACTTATACGATAAATACGATAGAACACAGTCCAACCTCAGCTCGACTTAGAGTTATTTTTCATAGTCACACCAACGAATAGACCTATAACTTGGGAGTAATGTTTTTCCATTTCAGACCATGTGTCATTCCCTTGAGTATCATTTCTTTGTTTAACGGTTGTTTACGAGAAGACGCATGAATATGGATACAACTCCGCAAAGAAGCTTAATTTCAAGGAAATAACACGTGGTCTAAAATGGAAAAATATCATCCCCATGGTAATTAAAAGTGGTCTATAGACCCCTCTCAGTACTTTGGAGTGCAGCTCAATATGGAGCACATAGCAATAGTTTTCCAATTCTCATGAGATTGAAATTCTTTTGTTTGGTCCTCCAAATTGAGCTGCTTTGACGTCACATGCAAGGGGTCTATCCAAAAAAGGTCTATTCTATTTACCAGGTCTTGAGTTGTAAAGCAGCTTAAATCCTTGTCTCTCCACGTTGCTGTCACTTTTAAACACGACAATCATGACGTTCCCTGTTGAATCCACAAAATTTGGATGTCTAATACCACAGTATTTGCCAATCCTGGTGTTCAAATCCATACTGTACACCGAGACATAATCCTTGGTGCATTCCGGGTGATCTTCCAAGATGAAGGACACGAAGTACAAGCGGATTATGCTCTGTGATTCGACTGTGATGTGCCATCGATACGTGGATGAAGGTCCGTAGTACCCGGGAAAGAAAGGGGACTGTACGTACCCAGTTGGGGAGGTAAATCTTTGTGAGTTTACTGTAAAAAACGAAATATGTTGAATTGAGGCTTTGCACTATCACGTGATAGCAGCCATGACAGGAGGCAGCAACAATTGAATCTAGTCTAATCTGATTACACGAGAAAGAATTCAGTCTCCCTGGTGAAAGAAACCGACTCTATTGTTGTGCCTCCGGTCATGGCTGCCATCACGTGATGGTGTAAAGCCTCTATTAATGTAAAGGAAACGTAAGCCTACTGCTAAGGATAACGTGATCATGCATATACCTTTGTGGGATTCTGCTGGCTTTGACGTGCAATATCCATTCATGACCTGAATTCCTTTTATGGCTATGTAGCCTGGCAAGTTACCTGTAGTGGCCTGGAACGAAAGCTGTGGGAAGAATTGCCATTTTGTCATTATTGTCGCTATGTAGAATTGTATCATATATGTAATTTTTACACTTGCACTTCGATTGGCTTAAAATTGTGCTCTCTGAGAGAACAGAGCTTCGTCATGTCATATGCGCACGCGCATTCATATTTAAAAAATGTACAAGAAAACTATATTGGAATTATAACGTATTTTATCTAGGTATACTATAGATCGTTTTCACATGACGCTACAACCGCCATATTTGTCTATCTTTGACAATAAGTTTGTCTTTATTAGGTACATCTACTTGGCCGCCATCTCTATTGGTATTTAACTCTCTAGGGACTGAGTGGAAACGCTCTACATAAGAAGACAAATTAAGGAAGAAGAAGCACTTAGGAAGTGACGTAGACGCTCAAGCATTTTGAGAAGACCCATGCATCGCGTTCTTGTTAAAGTACCTTATATGAAGAAACTCCAGCAATGGAAGCTCTAGCATATCCCCATACGTTTGTTTCTCCTGATTCATTCACGGCCCAAACAAGCCGCGCTGCGAAGTTATCAACCTTTAAATGCTGAAATACCAGAAGCTCTTGGTTGACGTGGCTGTAGATCAGGTAAGCGAATCTTAAACATAGGCCGTATTGAGTAAAGGAACTCGGAAATAATGGACTTAAAAACGTTGTAGATGTAGAATATTCTCCATTTGTGTTGAGAAGATTTAGTAAGACTCGAGGATCTGAAAAATATAATTTTAAGAACGTTAAGTATTCTGAACTTTTTTATCCTGATATATTTATACATTTTTATTTTTCAATGTCAGTAGAACTTTACTTTATTCACTCAAGTGACCACGAACCAATGGCGCGAAGACGAGGTTGGCGTTGATGCGTTCGTACATTTACTGCATTTTGTACAACTCCAACCTCGACTTGGAGCGATTATTGTTTCGTGGTCACTATAGAGAATTTTGGGAAGTTTTTTCTATTTCAGTGTACGTTTCTAAGTTTATTTATTTATTTTAGTAATATCAACCTCTTGTATGAATACGACTGAGTGATGAAACGTAAAGGAAGTTGATTGACACAAGCTCGTAGCGTGAAATCTGCTCTAAACACGATAGACCTTTTTACTGATACGGCGGCCATCTTGAATTATGGAATGCGGAGAGGGCACTTTAAATTTATAAAGCATAGAGTGGCGGGGATACGTTTTAAAATAATTTGAAGTCTTGGTGTTTCGCATATCGTTCCAACTAAAAGCATATCCAATTGCTTTTAATCTGTAGTTTTCATTTAGAAGCATAATATTATATAAAAAGACACCCTGACAGCTATGCATCCTATAAATTTTCTAATGGCCGCCCCCTTGGCATCCCATAATGTCAGTGATTAAAAAATAGAATACAAAATGGTAACGGTAAAAAGGTCTATTTATTGGCTGCACTTACGTCTACTGTCTTTACATGTTGCGGGCTGCTTAACCAACGGACCTCCCACGAAAAAGCTCTTAAGTAGTTCCCACGAGATGTGAGGTGGGATTGTTTTCAAACCACATCCAACAGACCTCAAATTCACGTCTTCATTGGATAAAAACCAATTCCAATAGTTGAAGTCGCTTATGTCGCCAACAAACTGACCGACTCCTTCACCGACGAACCTGGCATATGACGAGGTAACTCCAACGATGAGCTCTCCCTTCCCTGGTAAACCGAAAGATCATAAATGTCAAAGTTTCCTGCTAGTTTTTATCTTGTTGCGCAACGCTGGACAAGATAGAGCTATTTCAACAAAAAGTTGCAAATAAATGATTGGTCGTAGATTAACGTGCTTCCATCATCGAGTTTTGGGTGCACGCGGGAGGCTGCTAAGCTCGCGTCTTGGATATGATTTAACATCAAGACCAGCAAAACAAGACTACGTTTCGTTGTCACCGCGACGACATCTTCAGATCAGCAGAATATATTGAAACTAAGAAGGATGCTCCTTCAAAATTGTATTTAAAAATATTAACGATTTAAAAAATACCTGGTATTTTTTCACCTTTGGCGTATACTATACCCCTGGAATAATCATTCTCACGGTTGAAGTGCATGGTTCCATCATTGCTGATCCATCGAAGGCAAACATGAATCCAAATACCCAAGTTTAATTTCCAATTGGTTTTGCCCCTTTATTTGTTGAATGAAAGTATTTGTGAATTTTAAATTGATGGCTCAAGGTCGATCTCATTTAAAACACTAATACCATAGAATATGACATTTTATAATTTGGCTGCGCGCAAAGCTGGTAAAATACTCACGACCTATGTTCTCCTACGAATACGGTTATTCCAGTATAATCGACCAAACCAATTGCCAACACATGTTTTCCCACCTCTTCGTATCGTACTCTGTATATGAATGGTGTTCCAGGGCTTGTGTCGTTTGTTCGTAACCACATGCAGATGGTGAAGCTTGTCATGTCTGGTATATTGGTTATGTTGATGTAGTCTGCATGGTTTTTGGGGAAATGGACTTCGTAATCGTTTGTCCTATTATCTATAGAACCATTAAGTTTATTACTATACAGATATCAATCAGTTACAGCACGTTCCATCACACGCGTAAAATTTGCTGTCGAAACAAACTTGACTTTGTTGGACGTCAATCAAGGCGTTTACACAACATTTCATTGGCACATGCCAGTCTTGAAAACTTTGTATTTTCTAACAATGTCACGGAAAAACTTATTTTGTTGAGACAGAAAATTGTACGATTTTCGATTGGGAAGCGCTTTATATATATGATTTCTCTTGTAACTAAGGCCCCGTTTACGCGAAAGGTGCGATTGCACGGAGCAATTTTCTTTGAAACTTGTCTCGCAACAGAGATGCGACTGACTAAAAGGATCGAAAACGCTGCGAGCCTTAATTGAAAAAGCTGACCGTTTTCATTGAAAACGCAAAAAATTAGAAAACAATCTTGCAGAATGGAGACATTTGAAAACGAAGGCCTTTAGTATTAGTGTGTGAAGCGAAAACGGACGTCATTCATACCTTTTTCCCCGCATGCGCAGATGATATTGCATTCATTTTCGATCGGGCGAAAACGCTTTGAAAATGCTTGTGTGGACACAAAGTGTTTTTATAAGACTTTATCAGCGAATGAGGATTTATTATTGTGATATTTGTGGTATATAACTAGCTGAAAGGCTTACTTGTTGTATGCGACCAGTTTGTGCTGTTAAACATGTTGTCAATTTCCGTTTTTGTTTTCCTCATGTCGTGGTCTTTCACTTGTTTCCAAGGGGTACTGATATTGGCCACGGTTTGCCATCCACACCAACCATCATCTACAGTCCTGCACTCAGCATCGACTGCGAAGTAACAAAAAATGGTTCCATGAATTGCAGAATATGTATGTCTTTGGAATGGTTTATTTTGAGGGCTTCAATTTGAATGAGTATTTTGTGATTGCTTTCTAGAAGAAGAAGAAGAAGAAGAAGAAGAGAAGAAGAAGAAGAGGAAGGAGAGGAAGGAGAAGAAGAAGAGGAGAAGGAGGAGGAGGAGGAGGAGGAGGAGGAGGAGGAGGAGGAGGAGGAGAGGTTAGAAAAAAGAAAAGAAAAGAAAGTAAAGATAACTTAGGGGAAGGGAGGGAAAGAACAGAGGAGATAATTTCCCCCGGTAACCATATCAAGCATCAGTCATTTCCCCCCTACTCCTTTTCTTTTAGTTTGACGAAGATTCCATCGCATTATTGATCTATTTCCAATATAGAGACCTTTATCCGCATCACGCTTACCGCTGAACGCTAGGAATCAGTCCTAGAAACATAACCGCAAACACGGAGTAACACTCGGAATCTATAAAATTCAAAATGGGGGCTCTTCCAGTAACAACTTCGTTTTAAGGAGGCTGGAAAGTGTTTTGTGCCCTCACATGCAGTCATATTATGAACTAAAAAAATTAACACGGCTATAATATGACAGCAAGTAAACACCGGAATGCCAAAGACTATAAACCAAAGATCACAATGAGCATGAAAAAAAATGACGTCAGACGTTGCTATGACAACATCAGAACCCTTCTTATGCCATCAAAAATGTTCATTTAAAAAATCATAACTGATGAACCAAATAGTGAACTTTTTAAAAACTCTTTGTATCATGATCTTTTTTTTTGACGAAAAAGGAAAAAATTCTGTAAGAGTGAATTCATAAAAATCAATAAAAATTTTTTAGGGATGGTTTCCTCTTACAGAATGTTTTAAATTTTTCCTTAAGTTTTCGAAAACATAAACCAAAGCCATATAAAAAATTTGAAGAAATTTAACCTGATGCTAGAGATCTATTTTGACGTTTATAACACTTTCTTTTACCTTGACAATAACCCCATTTTCTATCTCTATCATAGTTTGGCGTCAAACTACACCATGTGCCATACTTTCCTTTGAAGCAGTGGTGGTAAAGTTTCCCGTTAAAAATGAAAGGAAAAAAACAACATTCACCAGACAATGTTTGACGTATTGGACATAAAGTGCTTGATGGCACTAAAAAGATAAAGTAAGAATTGTAGCTGATTAGTAAAATAATTAAAGTCCACCTTTTAAAAGTCCATATTTTCCCTCCACAGACACTCGGGTTGGTTTGTTAACAGACCTCTTTACCTTCGTATTCAAATTTCATATTTCAGACCACGTGACATGCGGGACATTATAGAATATTTACATTTGGAAAAAATCAACTCCCAAGTTTCATCACATGGTCTTAAATGGGACAATAAATTGCGAAGGTAAAGAGGACTATTTTGCTTATTTAGGACGCGCGGGGATTTGGGGTGAGTTCAAAGGGACGCACCATTCCCCTCTCGTAAAAGATAAATTCAAAAAATTATGTATAACAAAAGCTGACTTGAATGGGTTACTTGCATTATAGCGTCATTTACTCCCATTACCAGAATCCCTTGTGCACTTTCTTTTGTTCAGTTAATTAGCACCAATTGCCTTACTTTCTCATGAGGGAATACAAATTTGAATAAAAAAGAAAATTAGCGAAGCCTTTTGGTTTTGGGAATAAAATGACGCCACCATTCAACGGCCTATTAGTCTAGTATAACAAATATCATAGCGAACATTTTAATGGGAGGCTTTGTAAAACCGCTGCCAAAATGACCGTATTTATCAATAAGAAGTGAAGCACTATGCAATCGTTTGTTTCTAGTTCTATAAAAATACTTAAAAATTTGTCTCTTTAACAGGGCGTACACAGTAAGCTTAGAAGGGTAGCTTTATAACAAGAGTAAACCCATGAGAAAGTAAGTATAGCAGCACACACTAATTCCTTAGTACATAGTGGTTATTTATCGTAATAAAAGTCGGTTCGCATTGGGAACTGTGCCCGAGGTCTTGAATATACTGAATATATGGACCGACGCAAGATTTCGTAGGATACCGAACTGGGAAAAAAGCAATATTTAGTACCAACTAGTTAGTAATTTCTCGTGGTTTCGTCAACTATATTCAATCTGTTAGCGGGCTCAGCTCAAACGTCGAACTTCACATGAGTCGAACATAATTGAAACGATGGCTAACAAGGCGGTTTTCTTTGATATCATTAGGTTCGGCTCGTGTGAAGCTCGAGGTTTGACACGAGAGCCTTATATATCTGTTACTTGTAGTATATTTCCTTACTGTATCTAAATAGCATTTCCCCAACGCTTATCGCATAACCGAACACTGTCAGGTCCCTTAGGCATCCGCGGAACCTTTGGCCTGAATCCTTTTTGAACCCAATTTCGTAAAAGGTGTGGTTTGTTACTCTGAGGTTAATGTTTTTGATATTCTTATCCACTGTTTTTTGTTTAGAATATTGGTCTCTGAATAGAACGGCTCTTTTTGTTTGGCGATTCCATGAGAAACCAGTGAAAGTCCATTCTCCACTAGGGATACGTCTACACATGATCAAAATAGTCAGATAGCATGAAACATTAATCATTGTTTTGCAAAAAACGAGCAAAACAAACCCCAACCCCAACCCCAACCCCAACCCCAACCCCAACCC